AAGTCCTTTGATGACTACGAATACAACATTCTTCAATTTCATGTTTGATGTCTATCCTTGACTGAGTCCAAATTTTGTGGAAAGTCGGTCTGTGGTTGTGAGATTATGTGATAAGACTAAGCTTAAGTCCCCACCCTGTGACGTGATGTAATCATAATCCTACTGACCAATATCCACTAACTGACCCATGCACTTGAAACAATGGTGATCGTTGGACTCGCATGTCATTGTAATGTAAATACCCACTCAAATGTTGTAAATCTTTCAACAAGGGTGGCGTTGTGGAATAACAATAACCAGTGTGCATGTCAGGAATATTTTCATGTAAATATACAAGCCATAAAAACTTCCATCGAAACTAGATTTATTGTAAGCAAATGCAGAGGTACAAAATAGTGTAAAAACTTCAACATTGATGTTGAAAGGTAAATGTTTATGATTGAAAAGAAATATATTTTAGTGCCCAATAAACATTTACCTTTCAACATCAATGTTGAAGTTTTTACACTATTTTGACGTTTGGCACTAAAATATATTTCTTTTCAAACACCAACACAAAGTCAATTCATAATCTCTTTATTTAGTAAATATATATAAATGAAGGGAATTATAGTTTAAAAACTTTATAAAATATATTAGGTTTAATAATTATGACAATTGACCTGTTTAGTTATTCTCAAAACATTCATAGCCATATGAACTTCTTAAGCCCATTCTTAAAACTTTGGCTTTGATCAAAGTTAAGAATTCTTAGGGCTACGAATGTTTCGAGAATAAGGGACCTGGTTTGATTGCCCATGCTTGTGACCCCTCCATGATACTGCTGGAATATAGCTAAGCAGCATAAAACCCAACTATCTCACTGAGCTTTGAATCCGAATATATTGTTATTTAAATGATGATAATCACCATGCACCATGTAGTAGGTTTTAAAATGGACATTTTAATGCTAATATGTACCCCAAGGAGGACTTCTGAAAAAGAATGAGATCTTTCTTATTTGGTGATTACTGTGCTAAATTTATTGTCGTTCCTGACACCTGACAACATGTTAGATAAACAGGGTTCATTGGGTCTTTACTCAGCAGTAGACCACCCCCACTCTCATCCACCCGATCCACTGATGCCATGACAACCATCTTTTGACTTCTCATGCCACACCAAACCCCACCCCTTCATCCTCCCCTTATTTCAAATTTGTATTGTATCCTTGCATGGTTTTCAATATTGTCCTTCCAAATCCTTGAACCCAAGAGTTATCTGAAGTAAAATGTTTCAGGAATATATTTGCATGATTCTTTGTCAGCCTGGATAAGTCTTGAGGCACGAAGTGATGCAGTGTTCAACAAAGACGACCATTATGAGAACGATTGCCTTGAAAAGCTTTCCAATACTGCTAGATAATTAGAGTTTATTTACTCAAGTAAAAGCTCTGTTTATATACCATCAACATTAGATTAGATTTTAAGAGTGACAATTATTTTGCTTTGATGCTGTGTAATGTTTGAAGTAGCAATCAAATCTGTCGCATGGTTTCCTCAGCTATGGTCTGTGATACATACAGTGTTGTTTAGTAGTAGCTGATTGTAAGGGTAAATATTTATCGTCTGTTTCTCTTCTCGTGTCAAACATCCATCTTTAAACTTCAAGTTGGGTGCTTATTCCAGTTACTTTCTCTAACACTTGTCTTTCCTTTTTTTCTCCCTCAAACACTTTCTTTTGTTTGTCTTTAAATGGCTCCATCTGAATAATTGTTCAAGGAACATTCTCACTGCCTGGTTCACATGTCCAGTCTTAGTCAGGACTTTGTAATTAGCACTATGTGTAAGACTTATGGTCTCTTGTGCAATAATTAAAACTGGCTGTAGGGTAGCCTAGTGGCTAAAGTATTTGCTTATCCTGCCAAAGGCTTATGTTTTATTCCCCAAATGGTGAAACTTATTTGTGGTCTTCCAGCAGTGATAGGCTTTATGCTGCTTCTGGTAATATTTCAGGTTCAGTTCAAACTGAATTGTTTTGAAAAAATATAAACAGATTCATATTTTCTTATTTCTTGAGAGTGAATATAAATTATTTTTCAAGATGCCTGCAAGTTAAGGTGTGGTGCAAGCAGTAGAACACCAAACAAGATCCACTAAAAAGTTGTTTTCTTTCCAAACTGTTTTATATATATTTTTCATATTGTTGAAATTTAAACGCAGACAGTATGAAATCTGTATGTAATGAAAGTAGATTTTCATTAAAAATAATAGGTTTCATACCGCGTTGCTATGAGGGAGTATTGTGTCAGTTTATATCTTCAAGTCTTTTAGATTTTCCTCATTAACTGGAAACTAAGTCGCCAACAGTGTAGTTGACATTTGCTTATCAAGGAATCGAGTTGCTCGTCTGTTGCAACCGTCAGGAAGGATTTAATTATATCATTGCAAAGATGTTTTTTTGAAAATGGATCATTTTAATCTGGATCAGTTATAATAAAATATTCATTCATCTGACAATGTTTTATGTATGATTAATTTTACAGTATATTGCAGTAATATTAATGCAAACTGACTTAATGCTTGTTTGAGTGGCATTTTAGAAGTTAAGACGTACAATATAGAACAAATTTTTATGGATAATAACTTCTTTATTTCGTGAGTGTGACGTTTTTGATACTGACAACGGTACAAGAATCTGTATCGAAACGTCGCACTCACTAAAGTTGTTATCCATAAAATTCTATATTGACTTAATGCTGCAACATGTTTCTTCAAATTCAAATTTTAAAAAGATTTTTTTTGGTTTTTAGAGCTGAACTATTCAGGAGCTGAAAACACTGCTTCACATAACATCCAAAATACCAGAATTTGTACTGATGTGTTATATGGAGATAAAACTAATTTTCAAGAACAACATAGTGACATATGATCTGGCATTTATAGTGTCTGAGAGCTCTAATCAATTGAAATGTTTTGCCAAGAGCCATGTGTGTTCAAAAAACATCAGCACGTCATAGTTTCATCCTCCCATATAGTTGAGCCCTCCATTCAAGCAGTATGACCATTGTTTTGTATCAGGGTTTTATTGCTAGCATGCCAATTTTATTATGTAAATATTGGCAGTTAATGTTTGGTCCCCAGTGATTGCAAGCTCTGCCTGAGGGGACTTGGCAATAATGACTTTTAATTGCTAATAAATGTAAGTGTTTCAGTATAATGGGTGGTAATTGATAATAGACTTCAGTGCATTAGCTTGAGCTCAGGCCAGTTAGCCCCCTGAGTAGCCCAGTGTCCGGTTAATGAGGCAGTGTTTGGTGTACGCACACAGCCAGAAAAGCTTTGTAACACATGATCGCAGGCCATTGTCTCCAGATTAAAACTGGTGGCGGTGCAGACGACAGACAGGTAGGTGAGCCAAACAGACTGCTCACTTCAGACCAATAGTATGTTGATTGGAGGGTATATAGAGTGGACTGTGACAAGATACCTGCACAGTCACTCATAGTCAGAACAGGATAGCTGGCTGCACAAAACTGTGGATGTTTCAGTGTAGATTTTCAAAGCAGACGGCAACATCGTTTCATAACAAACAAACAGTTCATCAATATTGGTAGAAGAGAGTGTTGGAGTTGAACATGAATGAGGACCTCCTGTTAGCCACCTGTAGTGTTGTGCCAAGATTTGTGTAGGCTCTGTCTGTGGAGTTGTGTGGACTGGGTATTTGATCCTACAGTGACTGAGGCATGCTTTTCTCTGTAGAAAGGATGTTAACACAGGAAGTTGACAACCAGGGTCAGTACAGTGGATGATAATAAGATCCGGTATCAGCAAATGCTGTTACTATAGATACTAGTTTCTCTTTAATGTTCATAAACCAAATATTAAATATTTCATGATAATCGCTTCACCCCATTTTGTCATAATGAATATCTTGTTTCAGCAGTTCATGTTCAGTGAAGTGTCTGACACATGCTTACTTTTTCAACATTTTAAACAATGGCTGTTTGGTTAAGGACAGTATCAATCACAGTGTAGTAGATGTTATTGTGAGCCCATGAAAAGAAAAACATGTGCTTTTGACATCAAGGGCATGATAAGTATCCTCACTTGGGGCTACACTATGTTGTTTTAAGCCCAGATGAAGCACTTTGACATGTGTATACAGTGGCTCATGCACCTAGTATTGTGTAATGCAAATGTATTTTTTATCACAACAAGAGAACTGCTCCGTCAGTTTGATCATCAACATTTATATGTTCTTGGCTGTATCTTTATCAACAAAACTGGCCTCGCTCATATAAGAGGTTTAGCCATCAGGGGCAAATTCAAGTATGTATATAGAACTCCGGTACAGAGAGTTTACACAGCTGTAAAATCATGTTTGTTTAAACAAATTTGAATACTGTCAAAACTTGTATCAAATGCCTTTGGATTGCAGAGATCATCTAGGTTCCCATTGTTTCTCTTATTTTGAGTGAGGGTTGGTTAGCCCAGTGGTTGAAAGACTGGCTTATACCACTGACCAGTTCAATTCTGCAATGCCTTGATATTGCCATAATAATGATAAAACACTAGAAATCCCAACTCACTATTATTTCACAGTTGACAAAGGTTTCTAGATCTGATCTTGGTTTCTTAGATTATTCCAGTCTAATAGGTAGCCTTGTGGTTGCAGGAAATGCCCATTTGTTCTGAAGATATTCCATATTGTGTGAACTAAAGGCTAAACATGACTGTGGATTTGGTTGACATAGATGAACTTCAAGGAAGCATTGACCGAGTGTGTAAAACTAACTGCTTCAGCCTAAAATGTCCCTGTTTCCCTAACAAGAACTGTGAAACTTCTAGTGCCTCACAGACCACTTGGTTTGTACACTAATCCGGGAGCTGAGAATACAAAAATGTGCCATCTGATCCATTGACCACCCGAAAAAATAATGTAGAGTATTCACTTGCTCACTCTTAAGATATGTAGTTTCTGGATCTGAAACTGAGTTAATAGTTCCCGATCTCTTGCAGGTCCGATGCAGATCTCTCAGGAAGCTACGTCTGGGATGGGGAAGAGGCAGGAGTGTGCGGGATGTAAGAAGAACATTAGTGACCGCTACCTGCTGAAAGCGCTGGAGCAGTACTGGCACGAAGACTGTCTCAAGTGCTCATGCTGCGATTGCCGTCTCGGGGAAGTTGGGTCCACACTCTTCACAAAAGCCAACCTGCTCCTCTGCAGAAGAGACTATTTGAGGTGAGATGCGTAGTCAGCACACAACAGCTGTTGTAACCGATATATACTACTCAAAATAAGTTAAACACCCGATTCCTTCTTGTTCCTGTAGTAATATGAAAGAAGCAGGTGCTCTTTAACAGACTACAGTCAAAACTTCAAATTTGTTTAATGATTGAATTTTAGAATTAGCAGAAAAGTATGCATCTTTTGAATTCTGTATCAAATGTTAGTCTTTTAGATTTAAACAGCTCTCCTACTGGATGGCAATACCTTCAACCTTTTAGAAACTGGCGAGCTTCCCGTTATCAGCATCCAGAGAATCATGTACTCCGTACACAGCTACACATGCACCAATGGTTTCTGTTAAAAAATCTTTGTCTGAAATCATTAAGAGCTAGAAAGCAAGATATTGTCTCGTAAATGTTGTGCTGTTGGAAAATTACATATTTGCCGACCTACATCTGTGTCACATTTACTTTCTTATAGCTTTATCTGTTTACTCAAGCCATACTGATGGTATCAGGGTAACATATCTGCTCAGCAAGTGCCCTTTCCATCCAAGGACTGAAATTGATTCTGTCATGCTAAACTGTTGTTAAATTTTAATTTCAGATTATTTGGTACAACTGGCTACTGCTCAGCCTGTTCGAAGATGATCCCAGCATTTGAGATGGTTATGAGGGCAAAGACAAATGTGTATCACCTGGAATGTTTTGCTTGTCAACAGTGCAATCACAGGTAAATTCAGGGAGAAGTTTTAGTTTTAAGCGAGTGAGTGAGTATGGTTTACGCCGCTTTTAGCAACATTCCAGCAATATCATGGCAGGGGACACCAAAGTGAGTGAGTTCAGTTTTACGCCACACTCAGCAATATTCCAGCTATATGCCGGCAGGTGTGTAAATAATCGAGTCTGGACCAGACAATCCAGTGATCAACAGCATGAGCATCGATCTATGCAATTGGGAACCAATGACATGTGTCAACCAAGTCAGCGAGCCTGACCACCCGATCCCATTAGTCGCCTTTTGTGGCAAGCATGGGTTGCTGAAGACCTATTCTAACCCGGATCTTCACGGGTCCAGGGGACACCAGAAATTGGCGAAAGTAGAAAAAGATGTGTAGGGTTCAACTAGGCCTTATCATTCACCACGAGAAAAAAAATCAATCCTGGTCCTGCTGTTAAATGAATGTCTGCACAGGCGTACATGACCTTTGGAAAAATATCCTCCCATTAAATTGTCACTTTCCTGAAAGAGCACTTGAGTCATATCCATTACGTTTTAACACCACATTAGGAAATTCTCAAAGCTATATAAACTTAAAACAAGGGCAAACACAGTTCAGGTGACAGTTTTATGGGACTTTGAGAGTTGACATCCTGATCTAAAGTTTCCCCTGAAGACACCATGTCAACACCCAACACTGCACATCCAGAGTTTGTTTTGGTTGATCTTGGGGATAATTATCCCAGATTAGGCTACCTGTTGTACCTGTCTGCTCACCTGATGTGTTTATCACCTGGCTTAATGACGACCAGGTAGATGTGGCCTGGGGTTAAATGTGCGGAGGAGGTGGCAGGAGAAGTTAGAGAGATTTACCTAAGTAGTGTTGACATTGTGGTGAAACAAAGCAGGATTTGCATGTAAACAATGTCACTGATATTAAATCGACATGGGACATTTTCTTTTTCTGAAATTTATCACATATTCGTATAAGAAAAATATAATAATTAGATTAACTAATTTTGGAAATAAAATGGGAAAATAACCTTTAAATGTGTTTAGGTGATATGTAAATTTGTGTTTGTCAAAATCAGAAATTTAATCTATTCTTTGCATCAAATTAAAAAAGTGTGCTAATATTGCCAAGTTTCTCTTCTTTTTTTGAATGAATAAAGAAGTTTGGTTTATATTTTGTAAACCATGTTCTTACAAAAACATCATTATCTATGTCATGAATTTTTACTATTTATTTTTTTACTTATATTGTTGATAGAATAATTTCAATGCACCTATTACCACATCTGTTAATATCTTTATGAATGAGGAAAATGTCAGTATGATTTCAATTCTTGAATACATGTTTAATCTGTTGCAGGTTCTGTGTGGGAGATCGGTTCTACTTGTGTGATAACAAGATACTGTGTGAATACGACTACGAGGAACGCATGGTGTTTGCCAACATGACCAACCTTCCAAACTACGGCTACAATGCCCTGTCCCAGATGAAAAGACAGACCCAGAGCCTGAGTGATGATGTATCTAGTGGATATGGCAGTCCGAGCCCTAGCTCTTTATAGTCATCAATCCCTTGGGGCATGTGACAAACTTGTTGCAGTGCAAAACTGATGTACAGTTTCTTCATCATTGTTATTTCTCTGTTCTCAATCTTACAACCTGAACTTTGAAGTATGACAGGTCATGCTATGAGTGTGGTGGTGTGACAAAGGGAGATAACTCTCAATGATTGATACAGAGTTATCTGCCCATGGTGTATATTACACATGTACTGTTGTGTATTCACATTTTGGTGTGCTTTGCTCACGTGCTGGATTTGACAAGAAGACATCTTGAATCATCACAGAAAATGCAATGTTATGACTTACGACCATTGATCAACAATTCATAAAATGGCAGCCAATGTAAGTTTGGCTCTTGCAAGAGAACCAGTTGTGAATACTGTTCAAAAGAGCAACTTTCTGTGCTACATCAACTTGTGATCACATTTTATGGATTTTTCTTTCTAAATTGATATTGACTGTGCCATAACGTAACAACAGAGCATATTTATAGTGTTACATGTTTGAAAGCGAAAGGCAATTCTAGATGTGCATTGCTCACAAATATGGATACTACACTTGGTTCTTGGGTGCCATTGAGGATTTATATGGTAATTCAAGGTTCATGATCACATTTCAATATGTAACAAGTGACAATGAATATATATTTAAAAAAAAAAAATTGATGAAAGTGTAAACAAAATTTAAATCTAATTTAATGCATTGTCAGAGCAAGCTGTAATATATATTTAAATGTTATAACTGTGGAACTGATCATGGTCCTGGATATGGAGACACGTTTTTCTTGTGATTGTGTATTCTAGTCAACTCATACAGTTTCCCTCCAACTGTAAATATTGCAATCCAAAGATGTACATATAATAATGAGGGGTTAGAGTTGACATTAGATTCCACAAGGAAAACACTATTTTATTTATTAAATTTTCATGGTTTGTTTCTAATTAAATATCAAACTTTTAATTTGTTTGTTCTTGAATCACTCTTGAAAAACTGGTATTTATAAAAAGACTAGGTATTGCACCCGCCAGATTTTCATTTGGTTAATTTGCCTTTTAAAGGAAGAGTTTGATGTTAATGTTTTGAGATGCCAAACAATAGGTGTAATTATGTTCTGTTTTAATAATGTAATTATTTTAATGGAACTGTTGAAAGGTTTTATAAATTGATAAAAAAAAACATGCGTGACTTTCATTTTATTTATGGTTTCTCATCATTGTGTAATATTAAAGTGAAATAGTGACCTGACTGTTTTCATTCTCAATACTGCTCATTTGTATCAGAGAGTTTCCACTTCTGAAGTGCAATCCTATTTTTTGTTTGTTAGACATATATTTCAGGATGCGACAAATAGTTTGTTAAAGGCTTGCATCAACAGGTTACAACTCTGTGTTTGTGTATATAGACTCTCACCAGACAACTGGTACATGATTTAATGACTTTCAACATCTACACAAAGGGGCAGGTTTGCTTGCTAGAGTTGCTCCCCTTTGTTACCAGGATACACTGGTCATGAGTTTAATCCCAGATTTGGCTTAATTATGGTTATTAATTATTATTTTCGGTTTGTCAGAACTGAACCTATCGAAAACTGGAAAATCTTTTAAGAACTTCAACTACATTTAGCTGAAAAGCTCAAATGCACTTCAGATGTCTGTGAATGAGTCAGTCAAACAATACCAACCAATGAGATGTCATTTCAAAGTACAGTTGGGGCTGTGGGGTAGCCTAGTGGTTATAGCGTTTGCTCGTCATGCGAAGACCCGGGTTCAATTCCCCACATGGGTACAATGTGTGAAGCCCATTTCTTGTGTACCCCGATGTGATATCACTGAAATATAGCTAAAAGTGGCATTAAACTAAACTCACTAAAAGTACAGTTATTCTGTCATCTGTCTAGGAAAATATTCTTTTGCCATGTTTATATAGTTATACAGCATATAGAGATTCAGATAGATATTTTCAGTGTTCTGTATCATATAAGTTGACATGTACCAGTAACCCGCTGATGTTAAAGCTGATGACAGGCACTTGATGTGGAGGCCAAAAATGTTATATGAAAACATTGCAAAAGATCTTCATGTAGTAGATTCTTTCTTGTTTGCATCAAGTGTCTTTCCACTTGTGGCAGTCCAGTTATTGTTATAAGTGCTTTGTTGTGCGATGATATAACAATGATCTCTTCAGTCAATATCAACAGTCTTTCTTCTCTCCCACTGTCATTCACTTAAACAAGAATAGAATGTGTGTTTCCTATTTCTCAAACCTTATCTGAAACCTTTTTTTCTTCTTAGTACCATACCTTTTCTCGCCTTGCCGGTATCATATAGATTTTGAGCCACATTCACAATTTTAGTAGTTCACTAAACATAAAACAGTCATCTTTGTTTGACATTGACATTAAAACTAAAGAGGAGACATATAACCCTATCAACCCTGCTTTTGAAGGGCAGAAATAAGAAACACACATAGGTAGGGGAATATCTAAGGTGAATTTAACTAGAGGATGATTGAAGGTATGTATGTGGTCACATATTGCAGAGTAAATATCATTATCTCATAACATATATTGATCAAATCTTTAAACATGTCATGTCATTTTTTGTAATTTCTTTTAACAAGAGTTTCGTAGCACCTGCACCTTGGCCAACTGGCCATGAACCTGGATTGAGAATTTCTTTGATCATTTTTGACCCATACAACATGCAAATTTCAGACTTGTGTAATGACCCGTGTCAAAAATACATAAATGAAAACAATTGTCATACTTATTTTTACTTATATTTAACACTAAAAAGTAAACTCATAAATATAATGATAATCAGAATAACATCTGCATGTTTTTAGGCGGTATTTTTGCAAAAGAAACTTTAAGTGAATTTAATGATGCAATACAGTTTTTTCAGTTGATATGTTTGAGAGAGTAAGAAAGACTGTATTTATCAAAATGTGAGTTTCTGTAACCCCCATATTGTATCATTTGCCATGAAAACCTTACACCCGATAATCCAAGATGGCTGTCAAAGTCAAGATGGCCGAACAAGCCGATGCTTGTTTGTCCTTATCTCATTAGTTATTCACGGACATTGTGCAAATGTTTTAGCCAAACAGAAAGTTTCTGCAGGTTTCTATGATCCCGTTTCATTTCACTACAAATTCTGCATTCCATGGCTACCATAGTATTCAAACTGTCATCAGATTTTCTAGAACGGTACAGCTGTGTGTTTCTAAAACATGTTTGTACATGTATTTCTTCTGAAAATACTTGATGTAGTTCCAAAAGACTCACAAAATTCTTTGACTTCTAGGTGCTTCTCCTGTCCAAGCCACAAAGGTTGAGTTTTTAATCAAAGTATGTACAGTGACCCAAATAATTAATATCGAAATCATATCTAAAGCGAGAAATTCTTTGTTTTGTTAAAGCCTAATGGATTAGTTCACATCTTTAATATTCAGAAAGCAAAGTGGACATAATGATGTAGAAAATTATTACAAACACCACAAAACAAATAATGTTTTCAGGTTCATGATGATCTTTCTTGAAGACATAGTTCTGAAAATGGCATAATCACTGTAGATATTTATTTCTTAATAGAGTATTTTTATTTGCTCAGGATTTCACCAAAACAGTATTTGTGGTTTGAATTGTTTTGTTTTGTCTGATACCATTCTAGTCAGTGAGGGTGTAAGGTTGATCCTAGTCTTCATGTATGTATATATGGTTCATTGACTGGAGGTCATGTGACAGTCATGTGATGTCATGTGACCTTCAGTCTTCATGTATCATAATTTCATTATCATTTCTGTTGGAGAGATGATGTGTAATTTAAATGATGGATAGAGAATAAAACGATAAAATTGCCAGCTTGTGATTTGTTTTCATACATTAAACAGTACCATCATCAGGTGCGTGAATGTTTGGTGTTCTGTACACCTTACTTTGCCATCTGCCCTTTGCAGACGATCACGTGACTTGTCACTGAACAGGACATTACTAAATCACAGCAGATTGCATCCAGTCTAGTGGTGTCTGCCAGGAGAAAGGGAGACTGCCCATTTGAACCTTTGTCATGTCACAAGATGTTACTTGTTACCCTGCCTGGCATTTGGAGTCAAAAGGATAAACCAAGGTCAGTTCTGCTCGAAGTCAGTATACTGTTTCAGTGGGGTAGTTGATAGCATTCATAGTCAAGTCACGTCTGCCAGGAGAACAGATTGCCCATTTGAACCTTTGTCATGTCATGTCAGAAGATGTTACTTGTTACCCTGCCTGGCATTTGGAATCAAAAGGATAAACCATGGTCAGTTCCGCTCAAAATCGGTATACCATTGGGTTGTGGGGTATCCATGTTCAACTACAGAATGGAATCAAAGAGGACTATCATTGGCACACCATATGACTGAAGATAAGGCAATGTTAAAGATAAGCCAAGGTTCCTTTTGATCAGTATTAATGGTATGTCCGGAACAACCAACCTGTGGACATTTCCTGTCATGATCAGTGATCGGAAATAGAATATCAACAATCATGTGAATTATTTCTCTTGTAACACTATCTCATTATAAAACATGTTGATCTATGCCTATGTTTTTAACCTAATGGATTTATTTCACTCAAATTGTCATTCAATAAGGTTTATATTAATTGCGTTCCTCCGATGCTTTCAACTTCCATTTACATTATTCACAGCAACCACAATCGTATAAATATTTATACGCACACACGTCTCTATGTAAGCGTAATAATCTTGAACACAACATTGAATCCTAGTTACCTCGCCTCCACCACAGAAATGGTGCTAATTAGGTCACTTTAGCCATTCAGATGTATCTGTTTAACATCACACGCAATTTGTTTCTTCAGCTCTATGATGGCAGTCTGTAAATAATTGAGTCTGGACCAGACAATCCAGTGATTGATATCATGGGCATTGACATACAAAATTGAGATACTAAGTTTTATGACATCAAGCATGTCAGAGAGCCACCACTCAATCTAGTCAGTCACCTTTTACAACAAGCATGGGTTGCTGAAGACCAGTCCAAACCTGGCCCCGATTTCTCGAAACAAACTTAAGTCTGAGTTTGACTTAAGTGAGTTTTTAGTCAAATTTGAGAAAACACAGGAAAAAACATTTCCCAGAATGAACTGAAATCGATATTAAACTCAAATAAAGAAGACCATTTTGAGTTTGGTGGATAGATTACTTAAGTTGTTTGGGCTTTTTTATTTTAAATATGCATTTGAGTTAAAAATTCAGCCGTTTCAAATTGTCAAACTCAGTTTGAAATTTGAGTAAAACCTAAAGTTTGTTTTGAGAAATTGGGGCCTGGACCTTCACAGGAGATGTGATGTCAGGATGCTGGACAGATCTGTCATGAAGTGACTGACATGGTGCTGGAGGCTAATGTAGCAGACCTACGCAGGAGTACAGACATGGTGCTGGAGGCTAATGTAGCAGTCCTATGCACGATAACAGACATGGTGCTGGACTGACTGACTGACTGAGTTTGGTTTTACGCCACTTTTAGCAATATTCCAGCAACATCACGGCGGGGGACACCAGAAACGGGCTTCACACATTGTGCCCATGTGGGGATTCGAACCCGGGTCTTCGGCGTGACGAGCCAACGCTTTAACCATTAGGCTACCCCACCGCCCCGACATGGTGCTGGAGGCTAATGTAGCAGTCCTACGCACGATAACAGACATGGTGCTGGAGGCTAATGTAGCAGTCCAACACACGATAACAGACATGGTGCTGGAGGCTAATGTAGCAGTCCTACGCATGAGAACAGACATGGTGCTGGAGGCTAATGTAGCAGACCTACGCATGAGAACAGACATGGTGCTGGAGGCTAATGTAGCAGACCTACGCATGAGAACAGACATGGTGCTGGAGGATAATGTAGCAGTCCTACGCACGATAACAGACATGGTGCTGGAGGCTAATGTAGCAGTCCTACGCACGATAACAGACATGGTGCTGGAGGCTAATGTAGCAGTCCTACGCACGATAACAGACATGGTGCTGGAGGCTAATGTAGCAGTCCTACGCTTGAGAAGAGATATGGTGCTGGAGGATAATGTAGCAGTCCTATGCATGAGAACTGACATGGTGCTGGAGGATAATGTAGCAGTCCTACGCATGAGAACTGACATGGTGCTGGAGGCTAATGTAGCAGTCCTATGCACGATAACAGACATGGTGCTGGAGGCTAATGTAGCAGTCCTACGCATGAGAACAGACATGGTGCTGGAGGCTAATGTAGCAGTACTACGCTTGAGAAGAGATATGGTGCTGGAGGATAATGTAGAGTC